CATTCTTTCACTTACACTTTGATTGTAACTTCGCGCGAATTCGGTTACGTTCTGTAACCAAGGTTGTATCCTGGCACGATCTCGGTATCCTTTCGATGCCACGAGATCGCCAGCTAATAAACCTCGACTTGGTCCATTAACTGTCTTCTGATATTTGGCTTCTCGGGGATTTTATGGATCTATTTGGTTACGTCCAACCCTCGCCTTCTGATTTATCTGGCACCTGTTTCCTGGTAGCGGTGTTCATAGTTAATCTCAACTCGACGCCACGCTACAATTGGTAATCCCAATTCGAATACAATTGGTAATCCCAACTCTTCTACAATTGGTGACCCGTATTTTGGAACACGCCTCAACTTCTGATCAAATCTTCCAAAGAAGCCAATTCGGTGAGTCTATGATTTATCTATCCACGTCTGTCGTATATTTTCATATTTTTTATATATAATATACGCGACATGACGGATAACGATAAGAATAGTATTAATATAATAGACTCACACGTATGTGTACCGAATCCTTGTCACTTTTTATTCGCGTGATGATGAATTCCACGCTTTATTCGAGAAATGTTACCCTATTAACGATTCTCCTCGCTGACCCGGCTGCTTGGTACGGAATGCATACGCATAAGCATATCCGTCTACCACCCAGCACCAAATGGTTAAGTTGAACGGTTTCACTGCCAACTTAAAAGTGTTCTACGAGCACACGAAAACGGCAACTGGCACGAAACCATACCGCTCGTTCTTTTAGGGGCGAGAACGAGTTTAAAGGCAGATATCCAATGTTCCGCCACTGAGCTTGTATACGGCACGACATTGCGTCTGCCCGGAGAATTCTTCACACCACGGAGCAGACCTAATTTCGGTAAATCAGACTACGTCCATCGACTGTCTGCATTTATGCGAACGCTGTCTCCGGTGTCAACTCGAATACAACATCGACAGGTCGCTCTCCCTCGAGAGTTATCTACCTGTTCACATGTTTTGTACAAGTAGATTCGGTACGCAAACCTTGGCAACAACCTTACGAAGGCCCTTTTCACGTGATCGCTCGTCACGAAAAGACCTTCAAGGTTGGTCGATATGGACGCGTCGAGATCGTCAGCATTGATCGTCTCAAACCAGCACACGTCGATGACAGTGCCCTATCTGACACCCTGAGATTCAATGCTAGACCTAGCAAACCTACTAGCGGGATCCTCAAATCATCTTCAGGTCCCACGCTAGATACATCTGAGACCTCATTCTCACGTCCCAGTCAACAGCACGCGTCATCTGCACCGTCTACGGACGAGACGACAGTCTCACGTCCAGATCAGCAGACCACGCCGCCCTTGACTTCGGATGAGATTGCAGGCTCACGCGACGCGAACGAGACTGCCGTCTCACGTTCCGGTCGCCGAGTACGATTACCCGTACGCTTCCGCGAATAGTCGCACAGTCAACTACCGATACGGTGTAGGATTATTCCTATACTACACGTATGCTACACTCTTCTTTTTTTGATTTTCTTTTTGGTTTCCTGAGCCCACGCCTTCGACCATCTCCGTTTGGTTCCGTCGACTTCAGTCAACTTTGGCGAAAGCTGGCCTGATCACCCATGCTCTTGTCAACGCACTCAGTCGATATATTGGTTTCGAATGCTTGGCACACGCTTGGTCACGAACTTGGTCGTAACGGTCGCTTCTGGTCTTTTGACTCAACGTGGTTTCGTCCTACGTCTGCAGCGTTTCTGGTGCGCACCTCTACGAACGCCCTCTTCAGATTCTGGATACAAACCACTCTGGTGTAGCATGCCAACTCAAGCAATAAATACAACACATCGCTCCTGGTACCGTTCTCCGAAAACGACCTTCGTTGGCAACTCGACGATCAACGATCGCTTTCCTGTTCGCCAATTCTTCCGTCCTACAATCGCTCATCAGCCGATCAGTCCCACGATTCAAACAGCTATTTATCGAAAGTGTAAACCCTTTATAGCGGGGGGCTCCTGTAGTGACTCACGTTTATCACGAGAACACGACTAGTTTAATAGAAACAATTATTATTACAACCAACTGTACCAGTGTTTGTTTTAATGTGTTTTTGTTTAATTGTGCTAATTATAGCCATTTTGTGCTTCCATTACCTTCCATCATTGTTCCGCGGTTTTTGGTACTGTTCGCACGTACTCCTGTCTTCTGCTTTCGCTTGTACCTGTTCTTGGCACGATCTCGGTATTCGTTCAATACCACGAGATCGCCAACCAAATAAATCTGGTTACGTTCAATCCTCGCCTTCTGATTTATCTGGCACGTGTTTCTTGGTAGTGGTATTCACAGTTGATCTCAACTCGACGCCACGCTACAGGTCTTGTTATTTCAACGGAATGCATTGTGACCAGGATAAACAGGACGTCCTAATGATGTGTAAAATCCATGTTAAATGACTTTTGCAAATGGACGCTTTTTATTAATCTATCTATGAACATACTACTTACTTAATTACCTATAAGACATGTACATATAGAAATAACTTGAGTTGACACATAATCGGTTGTACTTGACAGACAAACTAACTAACTGCATAGTTTTCTACATTCCTTTGTTTTTTACATATTTTTGACTGTTTCTTTAATATGAACGAATTGATGCTTAGACTGTTGGATAAACACCAAGTATGATGATACATTGTGAGAGTACTTTTATCACCTTGTTTTATGACTGAATTAATTTTGTCAATGAGTGAAAGAGATGAAGTGATTGAGACCGAAGACGCTATTGTTGTTTATAGTCAATGAAATACTGATCATAATATAATGAAATTAATGATGGTGACATTAAGGAAACTGGGATGAAAACTATCGGCAGATATTGGTTGGCTAACTAACTGTACATGTTTCGAGAATGAGTTTGTTTTTCTATTTATTTGACTTAGTTAATTAATTGATACGGTCTATTTTCCTATTTCCTTGTTTCTTATTATTAATTGTGTACATGAAAAACAGATAAGCATAGCAGTGACTTTTGAAGTAACTACTTGATTGACTAATAGTGAGCAAAATGTTTTCTGAGAGATTGAGAGTTGTTTAGTTTTGTTTTCTGAGGTAAATTGATTACTGGTATTGTAATTGCAGTTTTGTAAACCAACTGATCATTACTATTATTTTCGATGAAAAAAAGCTTTACTAATTTTAATGAATATGTTCTTGATTTTATAAATATGGTGGGGTTAGCTAGTGGATCGGTTAGCTTTAAAATGGCAGTGTACAGTAGTAGTAATAATAGTAATAATAATAATGACAATAATAGTAATAATAATAATGGGTAGTTAATATGATAATACTGATAGTTGCAATGATAATGATATAGGTACTACTGACAAATATTATTGATGAGGATGAGGTAATAGGCGTGTGGTGATGTGTATAAAATTTGAATGTGCATACACGTATGTGTTGTATTGGTTTTTTGTTGAGACAGTGTTGCGTAACTTGTTTAGTTTAGTTTAGTTGAGTAAATGACCGGAATGTTGTTTGAAGCAGCAGTAGTAACTGTGGTTGGGCAGATTTCTTTGTAAATGAAATAAACTGTACATCGTGATTAGGTAGGTTCGGTGTGAGTGAAATGTGCACTTTTATTTGTATTTATATAAATGTATATGTATATATATATATATATATAATAATATGTAGCTAATATGTGTGGGTATGTGACACAATTGCATTACTAATCAGTACTACAGGAGATGTAGTGAGGAAATCGTTTACACTGTAAGTGTTCTGTTTTGTTTTGTTAATGTGACTTGATTTGACTTGATAATAAATTTGTTATACCTAAGTTAATTGATTACAGGCGTGTGATCCATATGCTAGTTAGTGGTAAATGTATCTGGTTGGCTCGTAGTGAGTGAATAAGAGTGGTGAAATGAATGATATATAAGTTAGCGCTGGTAGGTAATGGTAGATGTAGTCGAGTAGTTTTTATGATTTATCATTGACTTTGTTTTTATGCCTGTTAACTTTAATGGTATTGGTAACAATGATAATGTGATATACTATGAATTGAAGACTAGTTGTGTTTGAGTCATATAGTTAGTTGGTAATTTGTAACTGCAAACGATGACTTATTGAGAAGAGGATATTTTACATTTATTTATGTGTTGATTTGCTTAAACGTACACGCAATGTTGTTGTTCAGGTGTAAGCGACTGTCATCCAGACACTTGAGTATTTGCAACATGCTGCCCTGCTCTCGGCATATTTCCATGACTGTGATATGTGCAAGTGGATGCGACAGGGTTACTTAGGATGATGTTTTTTGTGGTAATGTTGTATTTTGGCGCTGGTGCAGTTGGTCGTAGGTGTTGTTATTGTTGTTGTTGGTGGTGGTGTTTGGTAAGCAAGAAATAGGCAGTGGGATGTGGTAGTCGTAAAGTGTCGTGAGTTTGTGGTTGGTGATCGCGCTTCTGTTCCCAATGTCTGGAAGACGGCTACATTTTATGGATAATTCCTGCCGATTCTTTATCTCAATTGAATGTGGGAAATCCTTGTCTTATGGCTATGCTTTTTTAGTTAGTCGTATTTATTCCCTTCTTTATGTCATTGGCTAAATGAATTATCGACAGACTAGGTATGCTCTGATTAGTTGATACGTTTCTTACATATATATAGCTACTGTGAACTCAACAGTTTTACGTCGAAAAGGTAATCCTATCACTAGACCAACAATATTACAACCTAAATAACTTGTTTGATTAAATCTAAGAAAAAGTTTGCTAACAAAAAAAATCAATAATCAATGTAGAGAATACTTTACTTTTTTCGGAGGAAAATTCTAGAATAATATCATTACTTTCTCCATGTAAATGTTCAATCGACAAACTTTTGTTTGGTTTCTCCTACGAAAACATTTAAATTCTAATTTTTTCCCTCTCATTTTCAAATTGAATTAAATTTTTTTCGAAAAAAAGCAAAACTTATTGATCTATGTTTGTTTTGTTCAATTAAAATTAATATCACAGAATACTCTCAAAATATGAATGTTTTAATGCTTGATCAGCTGATATACGGTCAGATGGATTACAAATAACAAGTTGCTAATTTGTAAACAAACGAAGAAAAAAAGAATAAATATAAAATATGAAATAAGAATTTTTAAATACAATTCATAATTTGCTACGTGAACAAAAAAAGTGATATTCACTAATAACTGACATAAGTTATAGAAATACTGGAAACTAACCAAGAAGTAGTTGTGGTGTTGTGTTTTTTTTTCAATTAAGTTTATGACTTCAATACGATATAGTTTAACTCCACATGAATTTCAAATGCATCAACATTTAAGTCTTTGTACCAATTAGAGATCTATATAGTTATCTAGGTCAAAATCACTAGTGCATAGTTTTAAATTCAATCATAATTGTTGATACTGAAGCACAGTCACTAATAATTCATCAAATGTTGCAGGTTCGCACAGAATAGTTTATTTTCAATATATACACATATCTTCCCTACAAAAATGTAGTGACCGAATTTGATTTAAACAAAGATTTTCAAAATTAAGTATACATATATTTGTTACTTGATTTTAAGAAATGTTATACTCAGACCTTTATTATCGATTAAATACTGAAATGCAATTAGTTTCCGGATGAAAAATAATTCAATAAAATATCAATACTTATGTTTCTGGTCGATGAAATAAAAGTCCTCATTAATTTCATACACTTACACAGTTTCAGTAATCTTAACGAACAAGTTATTCATATTCTGTCATTGAACCAATCAGCTTACACATCATTCAACCTTTTTTTCTATTATAATTCTCATGTTTGTTTTTTGATTAAATAATTACTCTTTACAATTAACATCTGAATGTTGTACTAAAAGGTTTCTGCGGCTTAGTATGATGCAAGGTATGAGGGTGGGTGTTTTATATATATATATATATATATATATATATATATATATATATATATATATATATATATAAAGCTTCCATTCGACCTATTGTCTACTATTCTATGATTTACTAATCTTAAGTTATTCCCAATTTATTAGTTAAAACTTCTCATAATCACAGTCACTTTTTGGCTTGATCTTTTGTGGCTATTATTTTCCATTTTATGGTATGATACGGTCAGGTTTGTTTGTATATAAACCAAGTATGTCTGAAAGATATGACTCATACATCAGAAGCTGTGTTCTGGACTCAAACAGACACGGCCAGGCGGAAGGTCCAATCAGAACTCAGAGATTGAATTTAGGCTGCTCATACAGGTTTATGAGTCACTGGTCTAGTCATATCAGTCGGTGTTCTAATTAGTAGAATTAATCACGTGATATAATTAACTGGGCAAAAGTTATAACAGTGAGAGACAATGATGTTTTCAACTCATGCTATTCAGTATAACACGCTCGTTATCACTGTATTAATTCATTGAATCATATTAAGAACTTACTGGGGTTAGTAGTCGCTGAAACATCAAAGTGGCGGTAACGAACCTATGGGATATGGATTTGAAACCACTAGAAAGGTATTCAGTTACATGTAAGCAACTGAAGCATCCAGATTATAAGTAGCTTCCTGATAAATGTTTATAGATACATAAAATTATTTAGTTATTATCTGACCAAATAGTAAACCACCAACAAGATCGAATACAGGGTATGATGATATTTCGAACTGGAATATGGACGGCTCAAAAATGACTCAATGGCCGAATTGGCAGCAGGCTCTCCATGAAAACTGGGGGTTCTCGGTTCGATTTCATGAAGGATCGTGGACTGCTGATGAGTTCAAGATTATGATGCATCATTTGTTCACTTCTCCCCGTTTTTCAATGTATCATCAACTAATAACATTTATCAATGAAAATTACCTACGTATTACACCCCGATCTTTAAGGATCATATGCTTATTGGTTAGAATTTATAACATTAAATGATAAAAATCCATAAAACTATATACAAAATAAAGAAATGGTAGATCCATTAGTACTAATTTATAAGTTTTGGTATTTTGTTATTGACGACTGTATTTGATCAGTTTCTGTTGGTACATGGTAAACTAAAGTTGATGCCTAGAGATTACTTGCAGTTACACAGGTTTGTTTACTATTGAGTTGTCGCTAACAGTGGAATCCAGGAAGTGTGTTTCGTCTAAGTTGGAACTTTTGAATATCAATTCTGAGAAAGTAACAAACATTACGAATAACTTTGTGCTAGTTGAATAAGCTAGTGGCTATGTGGAACTAACAACTTACTGAATAACATATTAGAAATTGAAGAGTCAGGTGTACCGGAATTGAGTCTCATTGTGAACTTCAACACCTAGATACAGTTACATTTACCTGAAGAAACGTGTATCATGTCCTGAATCTAGCTATAATTTAAAAATTTACTAAATATAATATAGAGAACAAAATAATCTATTCAAAAAGTTACACGTATAAAACAATACAGAATAAAACACTTTTTCACCTACCTGTAATAAATCACGACCACGAAATGACATTTTCGGAACAACTTGATGCCAATTCATTGTACGAGGATACATCACAGTAAATGGCTAATAGATCAATAAAGATAATGTAATAAATAAATTAAATGATACCTAGTAACATTACTCAACAATGAATTACTGATATATGACTATCGTATAGTTGTAGATATTTGAACTATGTACGAAATGATCAGGTTCACCTTTTCACTTGAATAAATAATAATAACTCTCCAAAATAATTAAAGATATATATTATCTATTGAATATTGTCATAAATATTTTTTGAAAATTATTCCGGATGTTAAACCATTTCTACCAACTCCATTTTCTTAGACAACATTAGGTAATAATAATAATAATAATAATAATAATAATTATTATTATTATTATTATTATTATTATTATTATTATTATTATACACGAAATTGTGAAAAGCTTAATCAATATAAAATTGGTTATCAACATATGTAAAAATTCTTACATATTCATGTTAAATACGCATTTTTTTGTATGAGATTTTTTACTACCAAAATGTAAGATGAAAGAAAATAATAAGTTAACCATTATAAATACATGTTGGGATTTGAAGAGTTAGATGTCATACTTTCAAGGCATCGAACGAGTATTTAACATGTCATGTGAACACAATAAGATGGAATTTAGTATAATGAAAGTTCTCATTCAGACATTTTGTACAAAATAAAAAATAGATAGGACGAATAAATGTTGAGATCTAAATGAACGATAACGCTGAGGATACTTGGCTTGTCTAAATTACATACATTAGACGACTCTGTGTTCGATCATCGCAGTCTCCGAAGGATTGCTGACATTTAGTGGCAACACCATGTTAGTAATGCAGATTTTCGGCATCGTGTGTTCGGGCACAGAGACGATAATCCAATTGGCGTCACCATCTTGAAACACCGACTTCGGTGGCTTCGACATGTTCTACGAATGTCGTCACAGAGAATTCCACGTCGTGCATTATTTGCCGACGCTGGGAATGGTTGGAAAAAGCGGAGAGGTGGTTAGTGTATGACATGGTGTCGGAGTATGAAAGAATTCTGCAAAGGGATGGCTTCTGTTGGTCCTTCACGACTCCCTGGTTGGGGTCCGAAAGATGGTGCTACACAGTGGCTAGAGATGTTATCAGATATGGCTCAGAATAGAAGCCAGTGGCCATCCTGCTGTAACCTTCTTTTACTTTCTTCATAAAAAGTGGTTGTATCTTCCTTAACTGAAAGATTTCTTCTGGTTGTACCTTTCCGTTTCCCCCATTATTATTATTACACTTCCTTACACTAATCTGGTCGTTATTGTTCCTCTTCTTTTTTTTCTTTTACGCTCCTTACCTTCTTTTTTTCTCTTCCCATTCTCATTGTTTCGTGTGGCGCATATATATTTGGTGCCCCCTTGTACCAATATTTATGTGTTCAAATAAATAAATAAAAATAAACATCCTTTCGACCTGGTTTAGATACGAATAATTCCACACAAATTCTCAAACCGTTTAAAGAAGCCTTTAACAGCAATTTGGAAACCCCCCGTAAATTTATTGATAATATTTAAAAAGAACTGGTGATTAAAAACAACTTTTTCCGAGTATTAAATGTATCGCTTCAATTTCCTAATTTTTTACACTAAAAACTGAGTTTTATTTACGGTAAACTAGTAGACAGAAACATAAAAACCTTGGTTCATGTTTGTATAATAAGAGTTCATTCTTGTGTGTACGACGGATGCCAACTTTCGATTTAACAATGAACTCTATAAACAAGTAGAAGGTGTAGCCATTAGATCATCGCTGGATCCCGTCTCCTGACAAAATTTCCTCTTGGAAAAATGAAAAATAGACCTCTTATAGACAATAATTCAACAAAAATTCCACTGTCTTTACATAAAAGATACATTTATACTGTGAAAAAAACACTAATAATGACAATTTGCCTAACATTTTCAATAGCATTTACTTCTGAAGAAGCATAGAATAATAGCATAGCATTTCTAGAAATTTGAGTAACAAGACAATTAGACGTAACATTAAAAAGAAATATACATAGAGATAGTGCAATTAGACAAATATACTCATCTCTATAGTTATGTACCAAGCAAATATAAGTAGAGCTTAATAAATATCCTGACTCGTGCTAAAGCGACTCGCTACGATGAAAAAAAAACGGAAGATTAACTGAATATACACGTAGTATTCTCGACAAAAATGAAGTTTATACAACCCTACTCTTAGTCTTGTCCAAATGACATAGGTCATACAAGAACAAGTAAGCTTAATTTTTCAAATTTTCTAAATTTCTTTCATTTTTGTGAACTTACACAACTTTAATATTTTATTATCTTTTTGTACGTAAACATTAATAAATTGACTTCAAAAATACCTTTTATTATTAGATATAATTCAGTTTGGCAACTGTTGACAAACATGTTTTCAACTTTGATAAATAATTACTTCAATTATTACAGTTACTTTGTCCTGTCATTACATATTGCCTTTATAATCACATTGTAACATGGCTTTCAAGGTGTAAACTAGGAAAACAGTGTTTAACGTATTGCATTAGCCAGTTAAGAACAATTAAGCTGACGTGTACAAGGATTTTTCTTATCAAATTTACACAATGTAAAATTGATGATGTTAGCAAAATACAATGAATCCATAGTATTTTACAGTTGAATTCATGAGTCGATTTAAGCTAGACCACCATTAAAAACCTCGAAACTCTGGACGGCCGTTTCGTCCCAGTATGGAACTCCTCTCACCAGTGCGCACCCACGACCCCGCACGCGAGACTCGAACCCAGGGTCTTCGGTCTCGTGAGAGAAAGCTTAACCTCTAGACCACTAAGTCGGCATCGTGGATTGGTTGACGCTAGACATTAACACCGTTGGTCTTGGGTTCGAATCTTGCGTGCGGAACCGTGGGTACGCACTGCTGAGAGGAGTCCCATACTAGGACGAAACAGCTGTCTAGAGTTTCGAGGTTTTTAATGGTGGTCTAGCTTAAATCGACTCATGAATTCAACTATTAAATTACTACAATCTCTACAAACCCCATTCTGATAATCATCATAGTATTTTGTTGATTTTAACTCAATTTCAAACAAACTAATTAGTTTAATTAGTTTGAAATTAAACATAGAAATCAAAAGTAAGAATATTTTACTCAAGAACAAAACAAATGAAGTGAATGAATATTGCAATCTAACTGAAAAGAAATATTTATTCGTTATACTTCTATTCTGTTTTGAAATAATTAAATGAAAATCTTCACTTTACGTTAAAGATCAATAAATTACTTAAAAGGCAAAATTGCAAATATATTTTTAAGTTTTGAAGGAACTTTATGCAAATAATTAGACTGATAATTCTGTAATAATGCAGAGAATTTTGTTACTCTTTAAGACAAACCCTTGTCTTAGGAAAATATGAAAATTAAATTCAATGAACTGTAATCACAGTTAAAATAGAGAAATTATTACACGGGGCTTGTTTCTGTTGCCAAGACAATTGAAGATTATGCATTGGTTTTTTTCTGAATACAATAGTTAAACTTTAACCTAAATGCCGTGGTTTCTGTTAATCTTAAAGAATAAAATAGAATCTTCAAATGAATGAGAAATCATTATCAGAATTATTGTAAACATTGTAAGGAATAACGATTTATCAGGATGAAACACTAAACAATCAAATCATATACTTTGGAACTATTATGTATGCGTATATGATTTATTCTTCTTCAAATATATATATATATATATATATATATATATATATATATATATATATATATATCCGTCAGATAAAAAGGGCTTTAATTTCATGTTTCAAAACATAAAGTGATCAGTTGGTGAAAAATATATGTCAAATACCTAACGTTTGATTTGTTTATACAAGAAACTTGAACTAAATCTAAGTTTTGCAGTCTCGTTGTACAAGAAACAGAACAATATCAGGACATAGTCAAAGTTCTAGTCAAAATACATAATCTGTGTGTTTATATTGGTGTTGGCGTAATCCACTCACTAATACATCAAAACATTGACGCGTACATCATCTTTAACGTCTCATAGTAAATATGTTCCAATATGATAATTCCGATGAATATTTTAGGTTGTAGTTGAATGATTATATGTTTTGATAGAGAAAAACAATTATTTTTTAGAAAAGTCATGTATTAATACTTACTTCATAGTCGGGTAATTCAACAACAGATGGCCAGGTTGATTCAGTGGGAGTTCCTAATAATCTGGTTCAATAAAATTAATCAAAATAAAACCATGAAATGTAAATAGACCAATAAGAAATGTTAAGAGTAAGCAGTAAACTACATCAGTCTATCAGTCAGCTACAACATAGGACCAGGCACATATATGCATCGGTCCAAGTTGCCATACCTCATTAGTACAACAAGATGAACACCGGATTCATAAAAGTAGTTAATTCAATGATGGTAATATATAAAGGAAAGATTGCATATGAGAACATAGTACAGGAAGAAAGATTTAGTACATAGAAAGAAAGATATGAAGCGATTTTATCCCCTTAGTTTAAAGGAAGACAGAGAGTGTATACACTTACACGATTGTGATCGATTCTGAGCCATGTCACCAACAGTCTCCAACCATTGGTTACGATAGTCACGCGAACCCCAACTAATTAGTCTGCATCTACCAACATGACACAGACCACAAGTTAGTGACTTCAAGCATTGATACTACGTTTTGGTTTGGCCGCCCCTAACTTTCTTCCAACCATCCCCAACACCCGTTGGCATTGCACGTCGTGATAATCAATGTTCACGCATACCTAACACGTCACCCAATCATCTCAGTCGATGAAGATTTACAACCTCATCAACTGATTTACCATCATTCCCTAATACCCTGTGTCTAACCTCACTATTACTTACCCGTGATCCCAGCAGATGCCAGCAATAGTTCTAAGGCATCTGTCGTCAAATACTAGTAGCTTACAGGTATCTTCGACTCTTAGTGGCCATGTTTCGTAGCCGTAAATTAAAACAGAACGAACTGCCGCGCAGTATACTCGTCCTTTTATTGATAGACGGATATCTCGCCTTCTCCGTAGGTGACGTAAGTTGGCAAAAGCCAAACGAGCTTTTCGAATCCGTGCTGAGATTTCGTCAGACACCAAACCATTAGGGCTGATCAGACTTCCAACATAAGTGAATTTGTCAACGTGTTCGACTACTTCACTCCCTATCCTTAGTTCAGGTGTTGACGCAGACCAGTCCTGAAGCAACAACTTGCATTTAGAGGGAGAGAAGCGCATTCCAAACATTCTGGCATTTTCTGCTTAGTGCCACCAGAAGACTGCATTTTATCAGCGTCTTCACCAAACAGGACTATGTCATCTGTGTATTCTAAGTCGATAAGTGGATCTCCTGGAAGGAGATCAATACCAGAGAATTCATTCGACGAGAATGTTATTTCCATCAGTAGGTCTATGATGAAATTAAACAAAAATGGAGAAAGTGGACAGCCTTGACGGACACCACTTGAGTCAAACGCTGCTCGTAAGTCAAGAAAGACCACCATTGTCGGACGCCGATATGTATGCCTGTGTTCTAGAACCTGACGAATGGTGAATGTGTGGTCGATGCAGCCACGACCAGGTCTGAAACCAGCTTGATTCTCTCGTGTTTGCAGTTCACGAGTCTTAGTTAGGCGTCCGATAATTATCGAGGCTAGTATTTTAGATACTATATTAGTTAAACTAATCCCTCTTTGATTGTCACAGGATGATTTTGACCCTCTCCTATATATTCGGACGATCAGTGATTGTGGCCAGTCAGATGGAATTACGTCCAACTCCCAGATCTTAGCTAAAATATTAGTCAACCTAATCAATCACTGAAATTGGATCACCATCTTTATAGACCTCTGGAGCCAATCTATCAGGACCAACTGCCCTTCCTCGTTTCAGATTAGCTATAACCTTTTGAACTTCTGCTAGATTTGGGAGACCTACTTCAATGTTCCATTCACACTGTCTGGGAATGGAGGGTAGGTGAAGAGTAGCTGAAGGCCAGCTGAACTGTTCTCTGGAATGTTCCGCCCATCGTTCTAAACGTCTGGACTGGGAGCAGATGAGTGTCGCCTTTTTGCGAAATAGTCTGACTTACACTTGACTTATTAATTTCAGTTTCTTCTATTAGTCTGTAGAGCTGTCTTGTGTTACCTATAGCCACTGCCTTTTCCATCTCTTTTGCTTTCGTTGCCCACCACTGCTCACGGTCGTTCCTCAGACTTTTGCTTAACCTAGATCTGATTTCTTTACGCTCTTCATCGTGTTCAGAGCCTGATGGGACGAGTTTACGAGAATCCATCAATGCAATAGACCTTGAGGAAATCCATTGGTTCTTTGTAACCCTGTGGTTTAAATCACTGAGAGATGTCACTGCTGTTTCCACAGCTGTTTGTATAGCTTTCCAAGCAACATCTGGGTCAGCCTCGTTTTCAGAACTACCTCATTGTGACCTCAGTTGTTCCTGGAACCTACTTTTGGTTTTCTCGCTACTCAATTCAGTTCTAATGGGTCTTTTACTGTGGCTTTTTTGCGTCCAGTGAGGCGCAAGCAGATGCGTGCCCGTATTGGGGCTTGGCCGGAGTCCAAGCAGGTACTCCAGAATGAGCGGCAATCTTCTATCGACCCTCTGATGGCAGTATGATCTATTTGAATCGGTTTGGTGTAGAGGGTCACCATGTTAGACGACGTCTCCCTTTATGCTTAGAATTTGTGTTTGCTAAAAATAAACGATTGTCTGAGCACAGTTGCAGCAGACGATCACCATCATCTGTTCGCTGTGTCGGAATACTAAAATACCCACCTAAATGTCTTTCTGTTTGGTTTCAGCTACCTACTTGAACACTAGAGCCACCTACTACGAGTACTATGTCTGGACGTTTAGCTTTCTGAAGAAGTTCAGATTGCTTTCTGCAAAATTCATCTTTCGCTTCATCTGAGCTGCAGTCGGTAGGAGCGTAGGCAGAAACGACAAAAAGGCAACGACGTGTGTCCATATCCATCCGAGTTCTTACGGAGCCGTCTAGCCGAACAGAACATGGGAGACTGTTAATGGGGATCCACTTTAACAGTGCTTGTTCCGCCCTCATGCTTAGTGCTATGCCTACACCTGCCAGTCCACGAGAACTAGCCATCGGGTCGCCAGATACACGGAGGGTGTATCTCGTCGGCTCTCCGTTTTGCCGAGGTGAGGTCAGGTGACCGACCACACTAGGATCCTGTATGTGTGTTTCAGAGACACAGCATACATCAATGGTACGAGATTCTAGGGTTCTAGCCAAGGAAGCCTGCTGACCGATTTGACATACGGTGCGTACATTGAAGACTCCAATGTGTAGTTTGGAGCGAGGTTTCAGTAGACCTGGGACAGTGTTTCATGCACTAGAATCGTTGGCTATGGTGACACTTGAGGGGGAAGCCGAAAGAGGAAGTTTAGAGGTGAAAGTCGATGTAGGAGGAATAATAGAAAGTGAAGAGGGACGTTGATTATGAATACAGTGGTCTTGAGTACTGCTAGAGGTATGAGGGTGGTTATCACTTCCCGGTTGCCTACACCGTGGAAGGGTTCTTCTGGAGGTACCTGAAAAGGAAATCGGATTCAAGGTGGTCTTAGTGACCTGAGAGCGTGACCGCAGTGCCCAAGAGACAACTGCTTGAGGTCAGTCACACACGACCTTTTAATTAGTAATTTTTGTGTTGGCTCCGTACTTGTTGAGACCTTACCGCCGGAGACGGATATCCGTGGGACAAGACGAGGTGCTCATTTTCAGGGTCGACCTTTTCTAACCCCACCCCTCCTTGTGGGAAGGCAGCATCGCTGTCATGCTGGTTGTCTGAAGGAAACACCTTATTGCTGTCACACCTCTGTACAGTCAGCAGTACGACTTCGCCTTCGGACCTTTGGTTTGTTGCTTTTAGTCTTACCGCTCTCCAATCGACCTGTCTGACATGATAGGACATTGAGGAACGGTTGTTCCAGCCAGTATAGCTCGATTGCTTCATCACGACTGGCAAGCCCGACCACCACGTCATGTTAGCAACAACGGTCGGGAGTAAACTACATACTCACATGTAAGATTTTATGAAACATTGGTAGGGGAGGGAATAAAACAATATTTTCATTAGAAATAAATAAAACTAACGAAATTTTTCATTGAATCTTTGATAAAAACCAATAGTAGAGTGGAAATAATTTGGAAGAATCGTTTACATACGACTAACCAAATCATTACAATAATGAAGATGTAATTTATAAATATGACAACTGTTTAATTAAAACAAGTAGTTTACACTCAGCTTTATCATTAAAAACATTTTTACTAGAAGGGGTTTTGTGGAGATTTTAGTAATTTCAGTGGTTGAAATCATGAGTCAATTGAAGCTAGACCACCATGGAAAACCTGGAAGCACTGGAAGGTCAGATAGTAACTCACTGTAGACAATAGTGGATGTGTCGCTCAATTTCATGGATTAGTTGGTCCTGAGTTCGAATCTCGCGAGGCGGCATCGTGGATGCGCACTACTGAGGAGTACAACAATAGGACAAAACGGCCGTCCAGTGATTCCAGGTTTTCCATGGTGTTCTAGCTTCAATCGACTCATGATTTCAACTATTGAAGAAGATTTTTGTCTAACTTCGCTTGACAATAATCAAAAAAAGTTTGCTAATCAGTTGATTACTATTACTACGGGACTAGTTGATTAAATGACTAAATATTATTTAATGTTATAACTGTTGTTGAACAGTTCAAGATAAGTGGTATGAAGACTTAAATTTTAGCTGAACATATACTTCTATGGATCATAATGAGAAAATTGATGAAGTTTTTGATTTTAATATTGATATCATTAATATTTAATATCAAAGAATTTTTAATTGAATCACATTATTAATTATTAGATCAAGTTTAATTAACATCCATCTGAGCTACAAATCTTCTCTACCATCTGATTGTTGAGAATGAATCAATCCAACTCACTTAAAACTCTTTACAGTTTCTGGCTGCAAATGAACTGATTTTGGTCCCACAGGTAGCATGCTTTAATTATGAAAACAACAAGACCAAACCTTCATTTTGATAATAAGCACAAAAATATATTGAGTTTTTGGACAATTGTTTTAATACCTAATTCCAAAAATTAGGTGAAAATTCTGAATGGATTCCACACTTGAAAAAATTTAGAAATGAATGAAAGTTACTACATATTGAACAAAAACATAATTTCATTTCTCTGTTCTTACTTAAAAATTCTCTGCAATTGATCATCAACATCATAACCAGGAAAAAGTGGTCTTCCAGCATTGGACATTTCAGCGAAAATACAACCAGCTGACCACATATCAATTGAGGTTGTGTATAATTTAGCTCCAAGAAGAACATCTGGTGGTCGATACCAGAGTGTGACAACCTAAGAGAGAAAACCCCGGAATTTGTTTAAAATTCAACTTTTAGAAAAAAAGAAACCTCTTGATATTGAAAGTTGCAATGTATTTATTTTGAATATTTGAATTTCAACATGAAACACATTAGAGTCAAATGGTGAAACCGTGGAAAAATGATAATAGATAAATAATCATTGTGTTATTAAGGCCAAATGATGGTTTATTTAGATTATGGGTTCACGTTTCAAAACTGCACAACTCTCATTCAAACTCTAGAAATAATGATTGATCACCGAAGAACTGAGACAGGAAAATATTATTTGTTTGCCAAATCGAGGAACTGACCAACAATTTAGAAAGATAATGAATTTACTTACTTAACTAAAAGTTATATTCACAAAGTTATTTCGAGAAACTGTGAGTTGACAAAAACCTATGTAGTTTCAGAAACATAAACGACCTGAAACCTTGTCCTTTTCAACTCGTTGAAATCTAGATTAATTAAGATCTTTCAGTAACAGTTCAGTAGCAAGTATGGACTATTTACAGAAACATGTAGTGGGACTGAAAAGAATTTATTCTCAAGTATCACAGGACTTTTCTGACATGAAGAAAAATGGGATAAAACAATTAAAATTAAAACTTCGAAGAAAGTAATGATAACTGTTAGTCCAAGAATAAACTTTCTGCAATAATTATAACATATCTGCACATGAAATGATTAGAAAGCAGTAAAAAAAAGGTCGCGTAACTAAAAATAACCCCAAAGTATTCGAGAATAAAACACTCCTAAATCAACAGTTAATTAACGAAAATGGACGCAAAAGTTAACTAGATAATTTATTATCGGAAAAAAACAAAAAATCAAAGGAAAGTTATCTTAATGAAAAAATAGCAACTAACTTCCATGACTCATTTACGCTAAAAGAAGAATGGGACACCAATGAAATCACTTAAATAAGCTAAGGCTATGGTCCTAGAAGGTTTTAAAACAAGCAAATTAAGTTTCAACGTATATAAAAGAAATTATAGGGAAATATGAGGACCGAATACAATCTCGAAATGTAAGGCTTAATCATTTATTAGCCAGTAAATCCAAAGCAACTCCTACTGGAGCTCCTCTGGAGAAACCGCTGGTCCGAAACCCAAGTAAAGGAGAGTTTGGTGTAAGGTCGACACAACAAGATGAACACCAAATTCATAGAAGCAGTTACTTTAATGGTAGTGAAAAATTTCATATAAGGATATGATGAAGGAAGAAAGAATTAGTTCATGGAAGGAAATATACATCGTACTTTTAATCTCACGGTTTAAGAGAAGACAAAAAGTGTATACACCTACGCCATTGTGATGGATTCTGAGCCATATCACCAACAGTCTCCAACCATTGGTTACGATAGTCACGCGAACCCCAACTAATTAGTCTGCATCTACCAACATGGCACAGACCACAAGTTAGTGACTTCAAGCACTGATGCCACGTTTTGGTTTGGCCGCCCCTAACTTTCTTCCAACCATCCCCAACACCCGTTGGCATTGCACGTCGTGATAATCAATGTTCACGCATACCTAACACGTCACCCAATCATCTCAGTCGATGAAGATTTACAACCTCATCAACTGATTTACCATCATTCCCTAATACCCTGTGTCTAACCTCACTATTACTTACCCGTGATCCCAGCAGATGCCAGCAATAGTTCTAAGGCATCTGTCGTCAAATACTAGTAGCTTACAGGTAACTTCGACTCTTAGTGGCCATGTTTCGCATCCGTAAATTAGAACAGAACGAATTGCCGCGCAGTATACTCACCCCATAATTGATAGACGTGAGCAATACAAATAAGAACCTGGAATATTCAAATAATGTGAGAGATCGGAGAGGTCATTCTGCTAGCCGCAGAAATCAGAAGATCCAACTTTGCTATGCTTGGTATAAGTGAAGATATAATTCAAAAAATAAATTTTTTCTAGATCAACTAACCGTACAGATACAGTCTATAAAAAATATGAAGTGAAAAACAAGAGATGCTAGCAGTTATTTCGAGTCTTTGAGGTGTAAGATGATCAGTAGCTGTTTCCATACACATTTACCTTGACAGTGTGATGGATTGATTGAATATGACATATGCTTTACTGAAGTTGATGATTGTGTCCACCTAGATGACCACATAAGTGACACACTGTCCATGTAATTCAAAAACGAAAAATACTAAATGAGGGTGAAGTATACAATGTAGATATGCTTGGTTTCGTCATGTTACTCGAAGAAAATCACGAGTTGTCAGTATTTGGATACTCCTGTCTTAGGAGTACTACTAGTATCTCAAAGGAAATACTGTATAAACTAAATGTATTTTAAGGACAAGGTAAAGAAAATTAGTTACTTAATAACCCAATCTTGATCTGAATATGGTTGCCAACTGTCTAAAGAAGATAATCAGTCCTTAAACAGAAGTAACCGAAGGAGAGCACATAGTAGTTAAGTGAGCTGACGGTATAAAAGCACTGCTTCTTTAATTGTCTATGCTATCGTAAGAATTCTGGAGAGGAAAAAGTTATTTGGAGAAATTTAACTATCTTTTACCATTTATCTTAACGTATTAAGCAATACGTTGTCATTTGGCAGGATACTCTTACAATGAAACATCTCATGGAAAGTAGAACTAGGATACGCAATATCTTAGATAGATAAAGCTTATTTTTGTATTGACCTATATACTTGTAACATGGTTACAGGTGGACTTCTTTTGCACTAAGTTTTGGTATTCAAGCCTAAAGACAAACACATAACTTATGAAACATACTTTATTGTTCGGATGAACTGTGAATCAAGAGTCTAACTAGCTATATGACGTAATGCGAATGTATAGAATACTTAAATGAATCCGCTATCATACAGAAAATGTCTATATTTTATTGTAAAAGGGAAACAGGGATGACTGCATACCCCAATACTAGAAACCATGGAAAGTCATGACGTGAAGTATGTATCAAAGAAATAGTATCCAAAAGGTCAAATTATAAATAAAACACGGTAATATTGTGAATTTAATTTGTCCTTTGTTAGAACTACTGAAAAATATTTTTTAAAGTAGACAAAAAAACTGACTTCTGCTGAGTATTGTCGCACGGGTATTCCGTATGCGCGAGCCAGACCGAAATCAGCCAACTTTAACTCTCCATTATCATTGATCAGTAGATTTTGTGGCTTCAAGTCTCGGTGTAAAACGTTGTGACTGTGACAAAACTGAAGACCACGTAGAAGTTGGAACATGAAAAGCTAAAAAATGTGAAACAAAGATTCTAAGATACTTTTTCGATCATTTTCTTAAAATCGAATATAAAAGATTTGTTTTCGACACGGATTTAATCCGTGGTTTATTATTACCAGTTGGATAGCTTAAAACATCTAAATGCTTGACCATTTATTCCGACAAACTACTCTGAGTTCTAGTTGTGGAGCAGTTAAGACATAACTCATCAATGAGTTTGTATGTAATAATACCAAGGTTAGACTTGATAGCTTCAAATAAGTTTTATTTACGCTAAAGAAGTAGCTTACATTAAGCTACGAAACGTCAGAAATACAATTTTTCTACTCATTGGGATATAACAATATATATATATATATATATATATATATATATATATATATTCATTAGTAATTCATTAAGGTAAGGTATCTAAGAAATAAAAGCCAGAATATTCCTATCACAGTACCCATACACTGAGGGTATTCAACGAGTCTGTATTCACAACAACAAATTCATGGTCTTTTAGTCTATATGACCAAACACTAGCATTAAGTTTAGCCCCTAATTAAAAATTATGATTTCTTGACAATAGTCGGTAAATAATCAGCTTAAATATTAATGAATTACAACTCAGAAACTAAATGTATAATCATATATAATAACCTGAGGTACATTTATGTAAGGACTGACAATATATCATCTCTATACATTAATAGTGTTAGCGGGGAATAAATTGGATTAAAGCACGTTCCGTGCAGGATTGTGTTGGTGCACGCTTAGAGAAGATTCTAGAATATTCTCATGTAAAAACTATAAATATACTAAAGCTTTTCGTATTGTGCTTCTTACTTCCATCTACCCTTGTTATTTGGAATATAATTTCGTTCCTGTTCAACCGTGTTCTGGTTTGGGGACTTGTCGAGTGAATTGGTGTCCAAGAATAATAAGTGATAGAAATAGCTGGGTCCTAATAAGAGAAATTACAACAGGAAGATCCACTATTCTTTAAAACATAGTACAATCGCCGACAGACGATTGACAAAACAATATAAACCATGACTTCTCGTGAATTTGAAATTGATATATGAGACATATGACGAGTTTCTGAGACTGATCAACTATCTGTGTCCGGAATTTTATAGAATGAAGGAAATCAATTTGGGACCCAAGTGAGAAAATCACAAAGCACATGAAGAATTATCGCCGCATAACTTAGTGGAATGCTTAGCGAGGAAATAAACCTAAGATTAGGATCTTAAGTGTGGAGTAAGACAAAAGACCGTATGAAATTTACTGCTTTATCCATTATCTAGACAATGAGACGAAAAGTAAACTCAATAACTCTTCATAAGAATATGACCATGATTTAAAAGGTTTCTCTATCGCTTTATTCAAAAAGCAAGTCAGAAAGTAATTACTACCCGTTACAATTGAAAAAATTGTCTTTATGAAACGGAAATTCTAATCTCCTTTTCAGTTGCGTATCCTATTAGATTTTCCATTATTTTACTTCTCTATTACTTTCCTATGCCGTCTTCAGAAATTAAGAGATAAAATAATGGACTACTGTCTAAGTATGTTTTGTTAGTGACATCACCAAAACCTGCACAATATATACGGCGGTCATGTATAATGAAGACGATCTGTCTTTACTCAGAGCTGAATCCTATGTTAGCTAATAACAAAATTCCGACCAATGTTTAAACAATCAAAATCTAAAATGTACATCGATTTATTTGATACCTTTACAGTATTCTGATCTATATCACCATTACAACTGTCGAAGTATTTCTTCAAATCCTGATCACAATATTCAAATACAATTGTTAGCCTTGACTCGCTTAACAGGACGTCAAAAAGTCTAAAAATTTCATTACTTGATAAACTAAATAAAACACCTGACAATGTTTTTATGTTTAAGTTCTTTTAAGAGACATATTTCTCGAAAAGCTGAACTAGGAATACCTTCATCGTCATTTTCTAGTCGAACACGTTTAAGTGCAACAATTTCATGTGTCTCTCGGTTCCTCGCTTTATAGACTTTACCATATGTACCTAGAAGGTAATACAAACATCATTAAAACAACATGTACACACCTTCTCCAATTTTCTCTAGCTTTTCATACTTCAAAACAACTTGGTTTGTCATCAGTTGATGGGTGTCATAGGATCAATGCTAAGTGATTTGGATAGTTAGTTCATGAGACCACCAAAATGATAGTCCTGGAACATAAGAATACAGGTTGTTTATAGAAAAAGTACAAAAATAAACGTTAAACTTTCAGCATGGACCACATAGATCACTAAAACTATCCACAGAATATTGTAAAATATAGCATATTACAGCAAATAGTTTTCAATAACAACAATAGTACCATTAATAAATTGCATTCGTAGGCGTTACATTCAAATACGAATTTCTTACAAAATAAGGTGGGATAGATATTCTGGTTAAATAAACTACACCTGCGAATCATTTTCGCTAGATTTCGTGACATTGTTTCCAGTAAATAGTTTAAATTGCAACTTCTAACTTCATATAAAATATAACTCGATGCATCTTACCGAAGTGCTTCGAAGAAATTGGGATTAAGTCAAGGCAAAATATTTTAAGAAACATTTTGATCACATTAATGACTCAGAAACTGACCAGTCGATAACTGTGGAGCCAAACGATATGAACCGAGTAAAAACTGAGGATCAAAAAAAGATATCCATTGTGAATCAGGAGCGTGTTTTGCTCGCTACTCATCTGGAAACATGACTCCATAGATTCTTAGTTGACAACGTAAGATAACTACCTGGGTTACCGAGTTAGCTAACAATTCCTGACTTGAGATGGCTAGTTTTTAATCCAAAGTTCTTTATAATAATAACAGTGCCTCATAAGCCGCTACTACCGGATAGTTTGAAACACCTACACATAAAATAATACGCTAAAGAAGAACATGAAGGTCTAGCAGTGTTGATGTAAAGTTATTCTAGAGACACTTCGTATATTCAGCTGACATGGATTTACATGACCTACAGAAAGATGAAATAAAGACACCTATACCCAAGCTGCCAACTTTTGGGGAAAATTTGGTCCATTTTGGGGAAATTTTGGGAAAGCCGCTATAGTAAATTTTGGGGGAATGAGACGAAAACCCCAAAATTTCCCAGAACTTCCCCAAACTTTGGGGAAGGCTATTTCACTTTGGGGATTTCCCAAAAATTTCCCCAAAGTTAGCAGCGTGGGTATTTTCGTATGGGTTACATGCAAATTCGTATACCCAAAATCACTTCGAGAGTTTAAAAAATTTTAGAAGCAAGGAAAGTTGTATTTCGACTTCCCAGTAGCACAAAGTACAAGGTACTCTGTGTACCAGAGGAGCATGCAGAGTACTGTGAATATGACTACATATGAGTAGCACAACAGAAAAAGTGAATCGGTGAGCAAGCAAGCGTACAAAATGCACTTATATTTACTACAGAAAGCAATAAATAGCAAGTGGCAAATAACAAAAGCTTCAGATTAAGATAATCTTGAGAATGAAGCTGAATGAAGCAGATAGTTTTAACCCATTGCAAGGCAGAGAGTCAAATCAAGAGCTGACTGATCAAGGTCAAAACATCTATTTAGATAGAGCTACTGGGCTCCCAGACCTTGTTTAAATGGTTCAAATGGTTGTGGGAGGAGATGAAAAAGCTATCACTTAACGAGCTTTGAAATCCCTGGTGGTTCCAGGTAGGAACCTAAGTATTAAAGATACCACAAATATTCATAGTTTGACAACCCTATCACACGTAACACCTTTATAATAAAGAATACCAGCCCAGTCGACTGAGAAGTCAGAAGTGAAGGAGTTCAAAGTTACATTTGAGAAGTTGTCTATATGTCGAAAAACGTTTGTTTTAAGCTGATTAGTACTTCCAAGAGTCGAGTATCACGGTATAACCACTCGTGATCTGTCACGGACGAGTGACCAAGCGTCATCAGTTAGGGTGTGTCGAGTAACGCGAAGGACTTCAGAATTAACGTGAAGAACTGTTTGTCCCATGGATTTATTTGCCGTTACAGCTCCTTGTAACCTCTCTAGTAGCTTTTCAAGGTTTAATGACTGTCCTCATGCCGAGTAAACGAGGAGGGTTGGGTATGTGGTCAGCATCTCCATCCCGTAAAAACAGCCTCGCCAAAAAAACTGGCCAAATGAAACAAATTAAACCATCTAAACTGTGCTCTCCGAGCTCAGGGGAGAATTATGACAGCTGAGATTCTACGGAAGCCACGATGACAATGCCCCTTCTAACAAACAGTGTAGCAATTAATATAGATACAGGGAATGCTAAGGTAATATGGGAGACCGGGAGGATCAATCAGACAGCAACGGAAATGAGGAGATACAACATGACGGTGCCCAGAATAACTGAAACCCATTGGAGCTAAACAGGACAGAAAAGAAGAGATTTGGAAGAGATGTTGCTGTGCTCAGGCTACGAAGAAGAAACTTCCCCCCACGCTCAAGGACTTGCTCTGATGTTATCCAAAGAAGCACGTAAAGCATTTATAGGATCGGAATCTCATGGATCCAGGATCATTAAAACAGAGACGGGAATCACAATGAATGTTATCCAATGTTATGCACTCACCAATGATAGCGACGACGACGACAAAACCCAGTTTTATAAAAGGCTGAAATCAGTCAGCAAAGTGCTCAGGAAGGTACTTGACCATCGTGATGGGATACCTAAACGCCAAAGTCAGAACGGACAGCACCGGGTATGAAGATATTGTAGTGACCTACTTTTATCAAGAGAACGCGATTGGTGTAATGGAAACAATTACTATTATAACCAATTGTACCGGGGATTGTTTTGCTGTACCTGTTTGTTTAACTGTATCAAAGTACATATATTCTTCCGTTGATTGTGACCTTCCTCGAATTCGGTTACGCGCGGAAGACAGCTGATAGACGCAGTCCAAGTGAAGACTGATGTCATCCAAGGCTGCTCACTCCCCCCTTTCTCTTTCTTCTGGCGATCGGCTGGGTTATGAACACCTCCATACCCCAGTGGAAGTGTAACAGCTTACGTTGGTTGGTTTAGAGTTGACCCCAAACAACCAAGCATATGCCAAGACAGTATTGTTCAAGTATTCATTCACTTCCTTATTTTGTACGATAGCAAGTTGTATGGGGCTGAATGATTAGGACTTCACTAGTTCTTTTATCCCGAGCACACCAACAAATGTAGGTAAAAACAGCCAATGTAACAGCCAATTCTGTAGCAACAGGTCTCAGCATGCAAAAAGGATAAAGCTAGATCCGGAAATGCAACACAGATAGCGGGATAATCTGTCCAGCATTAGGTTAATGTACTCAATTCCACGTCGTGTTTTCTGTAGATGACTCCCATTAGACATCTTAAGGCGTAATTCAATCACATTGCGCACCATATGAATTCATCAAGATTCATAAACACTCAAATGTTCACTTAATGTGTTTACAAGCAGGATCATAGTATACGGATTCCTCGCCTTCAGCTCCGGGTTCCCTGTCGTTGCGAAACAAAAACATGCCCTCTGCTACCAGTTCCTGATCTGTAGTTTGAGATCCCCATGTTTCAGATATCTCTACTAGATGGGTATCTTTATCATTACTTAGTCGACATGATTCATCCATTTTGTTTGGTAAATCCATAGTGTTCGTTTATTAACACTTAATCCATCTGCGTTCTCGTCCTGTTTGTCCGAATGTGTCTAACACGAATGAACAGGAAGTTTGACTACACAACGTTATCTTAATCGGTGGGCTCTGCTCCTTCCACGATTTCCTTCTGTTCTTGATAGCCCATAATTACAAAGATATCAAGAATTGCCTGTTACAATGCTCATCGTTTTCAGTTGTGTAAGCCTGCTTCAATTCATAAGCAACAATGTATAATTCTGTGCAGTTCAAGCAACACAATCAAAAGAGGAACAAATTATTACGGAATCCGTCACAACCAAAGCGTCAAGTAAAACTGTATGGGTGTAGTACAACAAAATCATAGTATTCAGTAGAAACGTAAGAATAATGAAAACTACAATAAGACGTAAAGGCAATTGTTTCATGTGGGATCAGGAGATCAGCATAATGCACAGCCGGAGGAACTACGTAAGGTAACCTCATATATGTAAGCAAAGTAACAAATTAGATTACAAAAGTATATACATGAAGGGATTTTCAAATACATCCACAAAAGCTTACCAAACGATCTCAAAAAGCAGTTGATCGTAGAAGAGATAGTAGAGGAGTAGTCTCAAGGGCAGTCTTATTGAATATCAATGGAATTAAAGAAAATATCGAACCGCCTTTTGAAATAATCACTAGAATGTGCCACTTTCATCTCTACCAAAAGTGACTTTCATGATGCACTTAATATACCCACGAAAATACTCAAACGTATTTTGTGTTTACTTTTTAATCATTTTACTTCAGACTAAAGGTGTCCTATATAGTATGTTAGTTTTTTATCCTGAGGGTACCTTGTCTACTGGAGAGTTGTGGAATTATGGTCTTGTAGATTACCAACGTAGATGATCCATGTCGAAATGATTGGAGGCCTACTCGAGTTAGACGTGAATGGTGTGACAAACTAGCTAACGTCGAAGTCACACCCCGTGGTCAGCACCTTACGCGGACTACCCCATTGACGTATCAAGGTACCATAGATGCTTTGAAGACCGTACAACACAGAGGACGTTATTACAGAAATATATTAGTCAAAGTAGATACAAGCGAAAGTAAGAACACTGCCGCATGGGCCAGTCCATGGCATACGACTAACTGGTGCGCGTTGGTTGTCCCTGACCTTGACGAGGATCGATGATCTGCTCGACATTCAATGACTCAACCCCCGGATGATTCGGCTAGGTCTTAGTGACATTTCGCTGGCCCTACAGTCTACTGTGATATTAGTATTGCGCTAATAATAGACCTAATCCTAAAATTGCAGACATGTCATGATATAACTGCCTAATCTATAAGATCTTACGTAGAAGTCATGCCATCGTCTACACCAACTCATTGTGTGGTAACAATCACCAATACATGATGTAGAACAAGCTTAGGCCAGAGAAAGAACAATATATTTAATATGAATAAAAGATATAAGATAACATTCAACAAG